CTGTTGGTTAGTTTAGTGCTTTCCGTGGCTTGTAGACAACCTCACATGGCATCTGTTTTCCGTGTGTGTGTGTGTGTGTGTGTTCAGTCTGCTCTTTTGATAACTTAGAACTGATTAGACTAAGAATGCACTCGATTTGGGTATGACTGAGTGACTAAAATAACATGGAAACCCTCTCTTCCAGACAGCCTTCCGTCCACAGAGACAGCATTCCATCACATGTTTAGGGGTGACGGTGGGGCAGAGTTCATAGCAGACGCTGTGGTGAGAAGGACTTGACGGGGTGAGAGGAGAGAGGACGGTGAGTCCTGCACCTTGAGAAGTTAAATGAGCTGTGTGCTGTCTCATCATAATAAGGTCCTGTAGCGGCCGAAGAATGCTGGCAGGTTGGAGTGACAGCACTGGACTCCTCTCACGCTGCCCACAGGCTCCCCAAGGACTCGGGGCTGACAGCAGCCTTGTCTGTCTCTGACAGTAGCCCACACACAGAGAGTTCACACTCATGACCCTGTCGGGAAAGGACAGCTATTGATTAAACCCATCTTCCAAAGTCAGGACTCCTGGGCCGGAGACAGATCAAGGTCACCCTTGTCCCTCTCAAAACCTACAGGCTAATTTAGGCCAGCATAGTCAGGGCCAAGGAAAATAGAGGTCACAGGAAAGAGAAATGTTTTGAGATTGATCGTTCATCTCTACAAAGGAAGCATCCCCTGCCAGGCAGCACTGGAGATGCAGCCTCGTTAGCTAATGTGAGTTTAATATGGAGCTGAGAGAGCTGGACGCCAGCCTAGCCAGCCACCAGGAGACGCTCAGAAACAGAGCAGGGCAAGGTGTCCCCCACCGGCTCAGTGCCACCCCGCCACTCGGAAAGCAGGGACAGTCCCGCAGCCACCTCGACAATACCCGCCCGACAAAAGCATCCCTTCTGCATCAATCACTCTGTATAGAGGAAGAGTTATTGTTATGAGATGCTGGCGCCTGATCAATATCTCCTGGTTTGAAAATAAACTTCTTGGCTTGGCCTTGACATTAATCTACCATCAGGAGCCCATTATCTCAAGACCAATGTTCTGTTATATTGACTTGCTCCATTTTTTTTCCAACCCCCAGATCAGAATATAATTGCATTTCTCTAGGCAGCCCTGTCACTGATTGCAGCCCCCGAGTGTATCCCCTCAAGGGAAGATGGGACAGCATCTTTGGGAATGAAGCAGAGCTAGCAGTTAGCAAGAGCTCACAGCAAGAGCCAGGGGGACGAGCAGCCCCTCCAAAGCTGCTGAATTTATCAGGACATGAGGTCCCATTCCCAGCAGCTCACTGCACAGTCCACTCTGGAAGGGGCTCTTTTCCAAAGAATCAGGGTGCCCTTCTCCCTCTTCACTCTACAATGAGGGACTGTGATTGGATGAATAATAACATCTGCAGTCCAGCTGTGTCCCACCTTCATCATAGGCACCTCCCACATTACAGCCACCACTGCTCTTGCAGGAGCCTCCTAGTCTCCCCCAGGTCTGCAGCCTGAGCCTCATTCTCTATTCCATAGTCAGCGGTGCAGAGTGTTCACTGGATTATGTTGTGTTCTTCGCTGAACACTTCCATGGCTGACTCCTCACTCTGCCTGTTTGGACCCTCAGAAGCTGGTGCCAGACCCGTCCCCTCCCTTCACTGCTGTCTTTGATCGCTTTGCTCCAGAATTCGGACTTTCCTTGTGCAGTGATTATTCTGCCAAGCTCACCCCTATTCCAGTGCAGTACATCTCTTGATCCCCTAACTGCTGGTTCCAAGGGCGTTGATTTTTTTAATCTAAGCTAAATTACATCATTGACAACTTCATTCCTTTCTCCATCTATTATGATGTTGTCTGTTGGCCTAGTGGTGAGGTCCTTTGTTTTCTTGATGTTTAGAAGAATCCATACCGAAGCTGTAGTCTTTGATGTTCTGTAACAAGCATTTCAAGTCCTCCTCACTTTCAGCAAACAAGGTTGTGTCATCTGCCTAATGCAGGTTGTTGATGAGTCTTCCTCCAGTCTTGACACCACATTCCTCTTCACTGGGCAAGCCCACTGTCAGGGACCTCTCCAAAATCCTGAAAAGCAATAATGTCAGCTTAAAGACTAAAGTGTGCCTGATTCCGGCCATGGTCTTTTCAGTCACTTGCTATGCATCTGAAAATTGGACAATGAATAAAGATGTCAGTAAAAAAACTGAAGCCTTTGGGTTGTGGTGTTGGAGAAGAATATATGTAATACGCCACAGACTGTTAAAAGCACAAACAAGTATGTTACTGGAAAAGTGAAGCCAGAGTACTCCCTCAAGGTAAAGATGGCAAAATTTCAATTCTCATAATTTGGACATGTTACTAGGAACATGTCCCTTGCAAAGGGACACCATGTTTACAAAAATAGAGAGTCAGCCAAAGGAAGGAAGGCCCTCACCCAGATGGATTGGCACAGTAGCTGCAACAATGGGCTTAAGTGTGTCACAGAGGATGAAGATGGTATAGGATAACATAGTATTTAGATCTGTTTTTCATACGTTCTCTATGATTTGTGCTCAACTCCATGGCACCCAACAACAACCACAACATCGCTACCCCAGGACCTTTGCACTTGTTCTATTGTTCTCTCATATTCCCAGTTTTTATCCTGTAAGTCTCCTGTCAAATAATCCCTTCTCAGTGTCGCTCTCATTGACCACTGAGCACAAAGTAGCACCCCCTACAGTGAGCCTATCTAATTGCAGTAGGACTGTAATCTTCAATATGGATAGAAGCTCAACATCAAGAAGACAAAGATTTCCACCACTGGGCCAATTGGCAGCACCATGATAGATGGGGAAGAAATCAAGGTTGTTAAGTTACAGCTTGCTCGGCTCCACAATCAACACTCTTAACACCAGCAGTCAGGAAATCAAAAGATTGGGAAAATCTGCTGTCAGGGACCTCTCCAGAGTGCTGAAAAGCAACGATATCAGTCTAGAAACTAAGGTATGCCTAATTCAGGCCATGGTCTTCATAATTACTTGGTATATGTCAGAGAGCTGAACAGTGACGGAAGATGGCAGAAGAACAATCAATGCCTTCGAATTGTGGTACTGAACAAGAGTCTTGAACATACCATGGACTGCCAAGAAAAAACATAAGTCTATCTTAGAGAAGGTGAAACCAAGTTTCTTCCTGGAGGCTAGAATTTTGAAGCTCTCTCACATACTTTGGACACTTGGCCAGGAGAGACCAGTCCTTGGAGAAGGATATCATGCTCGGAAGGGTGGAGGGACAGAGCAGGAGAGGAAGACCCTGGATGAGATGGATTGATACAATCACTGGGGCAATGGGAGTTGGTGTGTCTAAATTAGACTGGCTCAGGACCAGGCAGGGCTCAGAGCTGCTGTACACAGGGTCACTATGGGCCGCAGGCAACTCAATGGCACAAAACAACAACATAGCATATTACACTCTCTGGAACTCTTCTGTATATTAGTGATCTGTTCTCACAGAAAAAAAATTACCCTAAAATATAGCATCTTGAAACAATAACAAGCAGATATTTTCTGGCAGTTTCTGTGGGTTGGGAATTTGGGAGCAACTTAGTGGTATTGGCTCAGAGTCCCTCCCAAGGTTGCATTCAGGGTGTAAGCTGGAGCTGCAGTCACCTGAAGGCTTAAATGGGACTGAAAGTTCTGTTCCTGAAGACAGCTGGCTGACATAGCCTGCACCGAAGTGCTGGCTCTCGGCAGGAGAGGTCTGCTCCTCACCACGGCGCTGCTTGGACCTCTGCATGGTGCTGCCTGAGTCACCTCACAATATGGCAGCTCATGTCCAAGCAATCCCAAGGGAGTGAGGTAGAGCCACAGTGTCTTTTCTGATGGCTATGTCTGCAGTATTGGTTCCACAAGCCAGCATGCTTGATGTGGAAGGAGACCACACACAAGGGTGCCAGTCCCAGGAGGTGAGGATTACTGGACACCGTCTTGGCAGCTGGCTGGCTACCCCAGTCCTGCCTGGAAAGCAAGGAGCCTTGGCTGACTAAATCATCACTGTAAATCCCAGCAAAATGTTTGGTATCTAACAGGTAGCCTATAAATGTTAATTAAAGGTATGCATTAATACAAATAGTCAGTAGCACTACTCTGAATGTATGTCAAGTCTTGTGTGATGCACCCTACACATGGTACCATTTTAATCCCCCAGTCCCAGCTGGTTCCCTCAGTGAGTATAAAACAGCATTGAGTGTACTCGGTAAGGACTCCAAGATGCTGTCAGACCAGAGTGTAGCAAGCCAGGGAGCTGAGTGACAGCTAGAGTGACCCTCTTGGGATGGTGATAGGGGTACAAGAGACTCAGAGCCCAGCCTGCAGTGAGGAGTTAGATCAGAGAGGCTGGCACTCGTTGGAACCCAGCAAGAGACTTATAGACCTAAGAGGAAACTCCAGAACTTAATGGCAGAATCCATGAAAATATGGAGCTACATGTCCCCTTGTCCTCGCTCGTCCTGTGGGGGACATCACAAGGTGATCGCCAATGTTTTTCCCATTAGACCGCTTAGTCTGTGTTAGAATTCTCAGCACAGCACTCCAGCCATCTCAGTGGTCGAGAGCCCAGATTCTGGTGCCAACTTAAACTGAACTTGAATTCTGGTTCCCCCACGTACCAGCTCTGTACCCTTAGATGAGTTTCTCCACTTCACTGAGCCCCTGTCTCTTTGCTTAATGGAGCTAGGTTCCCACCTACCTTTTAGGTTTTCTGATGAGGCTTGGATGTGGTTGTGCATGGGAACCTCTGAGCAGAGTGCCTGGCAAGGAGAAAGCACTTGCTGCTGTCAGCTCTTTCTTTTCCTGCTGTTGCCGTAACTGTTGTTCTTTTCCCTTGTGAGTTCTGTGAACCTGGGGGCTCCACAACCCGGACCGATGTTCGCACTGAATTTGCTCAGGGAGCTGGCTTTTGAGGGACAGTGAATTGGAACAGAGGACATCATCTTCTTCTCTCCCATCACTCCCCACAGGTGTGGATGTGTGGGGGCCGCATGGAAGACATCCCCTGCTCCAGAGTGGGCCATATCTACAGGAAGTATGTGCCCTACAAGGTCCCTGCTGGAGTCAGCCTGGCCCGGGTAAGGTGCTGGTTTGGGAGGGTGTGGAGGCTCAGCCCAGACCTTTGAGCGGAGGCACCCTGAGGTGCTGGAGATTTCACATAAAACCTGCTGCTGCACCACTTATTAGCTGTGTGACCTTGGGAGAATTGCGTAGCTCCTTGGAGCCTGTGGTTCCTCCTTTATTTAAGGAGAACTAATTCCTTTCAGCTCTCAGCATTGCCAGGGGAATTAAAGGAGATGACACAGTTTCCCTAAGTGTGATAGACAGAGATGGTTTTAGGTGGTAGACGTGAGAACATTTTCATTTTCATGTCTTTATGTTAATGTAGATTCAAATTAATGTGTGTTAGTGTATCCAATGTGTGATTTCACAGATAATTTACTTAGGATATAGCTCAAGTAAGTGCAAAGCTAGACCTGGGATGATTTAAAGACAACTCCTTGCTCTTAAGTTAGTTTTGGTTCACAGCGACCCTACTGGATAGAGAAGAACTAACTGGGTGTCCCAGGCTGTTTGTCTTTAAAGCAGAGAGCAACTGGTGAGTTTAAATGGATACCTTTTTTGATTAGCAGTCGAGCACTTAACTATTGCAGCACCAGGACTCGTTATTTAAGGACTGACAGGTTAAATAAATATCAGTATAGGGAAGCAGTGTGTTTAGGAAAGCCTGAAACAGATGCTTAAAAGTTCATGGCACTGGGACGGTTAATGGAAATTAGTAAAAAAAAAAAAAACAAAACAAAAAAAAAAAATGGAAATTAGTGTCTCTCTCCCCTCCCTCTGCTCTCTGTCCTCTATCATTGCCAAAAATGGTGTGTCAAGTTATTTTATTGCCTTAAAATGATTTGTATAATTGCTTGAATTAAATTGACCGCAGGCTGCAAATAGAAACCTATGAGCCAGAATTTTTTTTTTTTTTTGGTTTTTAATGTATCACAGGTTCCTACCGCTATTCAAAAGGAGAATGCTCCTGTGAAAGCCGTCCTAAGCCGAAATGGTGTAAGGAAAGCAATTACCATCAGTTTATATGGGGGAGACCAAGGGGGGTGAACTTTTCCAGACCCCCCTCCAAAAAAATAGCCTAGCCCGTACAACTTAATATAGCACTGGCATATAATGTTTACGCAGTTCAGAGCTGTGGTGACTCGATGCTGGTTGCGGGGTGTAGTTCCCAGAAGGAGTGTGGCTACTGCCACTTGCTTAGGGTGTGTGCTGCCCTTTTAAAGGCTCACTGCAAAGCAAATGCTGAATGTTCGCTTCACTTTTTCGCATTTTTCATAAAAGTGAAAATGCTCTTCGGATTTATTTTGGTTAATGAAAACAGACACTAGCATAGGTCTTTCATAAAAGTGAAGAAGCAAACTTTCAAAAAGTAAAGGGTGCTTGTAATGACCTTTCCCTAAGGCCTTATAATAAATTTAAAATATTAAGTGGCTTGAGGAAAACAAATCAAGGTGGTCACAAGAGGTAAACGGTCCCCAGAGGGGTGTTTTGGCTAAAGTTAGGGAAGGTCACTACAGTTTTGCTTTAAATCACACCTACTCTTCTCCCTCCCATGCAGAGACCATGAGGCAAGCCTGAGCATGTCTCTAGAACATGTCCACTGTTTTATTCTGCCCTGCCACTACCTCTTCCTTGCTCTCTCATTTGGTAGTCTGGGCCTGCAGAAAGAATGCTAGCCCCCAGGGCCTGGAAAAGCCGTTGTCCTGTCATTTGCAGGGGAATCTGAGAGAGTCTCCCTAGCTCCATCTATGCGAGCCTGTTCACCTGGCAGAGTTGAGGGGGAAAAGAGAGCAGGTAATGCCCTCTAGTGGTGAAAGATTCTAACTACAGCTTTAACGGTGTCAGTGCTTTGGACAGCAGCAACTGACTGAGAATTGAGTCCTAAATTCAACAGGAGAGGTAGAAATCACATGTCACTAAAAACATCACTGGTCATCCCTGAGGATAGTTTCAGGCAGAAAAACAGCACTTAATCACTAGCTGAGTGACTTAGAAAGTCTAAGGCAGCAAGTCTTCAAGATACAAAGGAATGGGAGAGACCACAAAGTTGCCTTGTTTTTGTTGTTGTTAGGTGCCATCAAGTCAAGTATGATCAGTGGCAGCCTATGAACAACAGATCTGAACCCTGTGCTGTGCCATCCTCACATTTGCTGACACATTATAGCCCATTGGGGCAGTCACCATGCCAATCCACCTGGTCAAAAGTCTTCCTCTCCTTCGCCAACCCTTTGTCTTTCTAAGCATCATATCCTCCTCCAAGGAATAGCCCCTCATAGCAACGTACCCAAAGTATGTGAGGTAAAGCTTCATCATCTTTGCCTCTAAAGAGGACTCTGGCTATACCCATTCCAAGACCTATTTGTTCTTTTGACAGTGCATGGGATGTTCAGTGCTCTTCTCCAACACCACAGCTCGAATGCATCAATTCTTCTTCTGTAATTATTATTCATTTTCCAGCTCTCGGATGGATAGCCAATGATCAGAAAGACCATAATCTGAATCAGACACACCTTGATTCTCAAGCTAATGTCATTACTCCTCAATAATTTGGAGAGCTCACTAACTATAGACTTTCCCAGTGCAAAGCACCTCCTAATTTCCTGACTTGGTGTTAATTATGGATCTAAGTAAGATGAAGTTGTTGACAGTTTCAATCTTTGCTCCATCTATCATGACATTGCCTATCAGTCCATTGGAAAGAATCTTTGGTGTGTTTTTGTTTTGTTTTTTACATTGGGATGCACTCTTTACTGAAGGCTGTATTCTTTGATCTTCTGCAACAGGGCTTCAAGTCCTCCTCACTTTGAGCAAGCAAGATTGCGTCATCTTATAACAAATAACAAAGCGCATGTTATTGATGAGTCTCCCTCTGATTCTGTTGCCACATTCCTCTTTATAGAATCCAACTTCTGGAATAAGTTGCTCGGTATAGAGATTGAATAGGTATGGAGAGAGAATACCTGACACATTCCCTTCTTACTTTTAAACCATGTAGTGTTCCTTTGCTCTGTCCGCACAACAACTTTGATGCCCTGAAATATCCTTTTCTAATTCAGAATTCTTGTCATAATTATTGCCTACCTGATAAAGATACTACTCCTTGTTTTTACTGAAGCACAGATTAATACATCAAGTAATGGATTGCTGTATAACTCATAACATCATGATGTTGTTGTTGTTGTTGTTGTTGTTGTTAAGTGCTGTCGAGTCGCAGGGGACTCATAGCAACCCTATGAAGGAGAGTTCTTGATGCTTGGGTGCCTTTCATCCTCTCTCCAGGTTCATAGGGTTTCCGGAGGCAAGTTATTATGGAAGTGGATGCCACTCCTCCTTCGATGAACATCATGATAGATGGGGGAAAAAGATTGAAATTGTCAGTGACTGCATTTTCCTGAATCTGGTAGCCTAGTGGCAAGAAGCTGTGCTGCAATTCCGAAGGCACACAATTTGAGACCAACAGGTACACTGCAGAAGAAGGATAGGCAGTCAACTCCTGCGCGATTAACTGCCTCTGAAAACCCACTGGAGGGGCAGCAATGTGTCAGTTCTGACTCGATGGTACACAACAACAACATGATCAATACCCACAGTAACAGCAGTCAAGAAATCAGAAGTCACAGGACTGACATGACAGTTTCTGAAAAGGATAAGAGTGGATAGATAATGAACACTGCATCGGAACAGATGATGGGAAGAACTGTCTGAAAGGAATATATGATTAGACATTTTATGTATGACAACAAGAGGGTGTTAGGGAAGGAGGGGGGAGGAAATGTACAAGAATGAATGAATGAATGAAAACCCAATCTTTTTATTAACTTCTGTTAAAAGAAGAAGAGGAAATCAAAAGATGTTGCAGTGGGCATATCTGCTGTCAAGGACTTCTCCAAAGTACTACAGAACAAGGATATCTGTTTAAAGACTAAGGGGCATCTGATCCAAGCCAAGGTATTGTAAAATCTTCCTATGCATTTGAAAGCTGGGAGGTGAAAAAGGAAGACCAAAGAAGAATTGATGCCTTTGAGCTTCAGTGTTGCCAAAAAGTATTGACTATCCCATGGACTGTCAAAAGAACAGATAAATTTATCGTGGAGGAAATACAAGAAAGGTGCACCTTAGAGGGAAGGATGGTGAAACTTCGTCCCACACACTTTGGGCATGTTGTCAGGATGGGCCAGGCCTGGGGAAAAGGCAACATAGTAGGAAAAGTAGAAGTTCAGTGAAAGAGAAGAAGACTCTGAGTAAGATGGAATGAGAGCGTGCCCACGCCCATGGGCTCAAGTGTGATGGAGATGGTGAAGACGGCACGGGATAGGGCAAGGTGACCTCGACGGCACCTAACAACAACAGCATAGCTCAAATTTTCACTGAAATTAATAACAAATTTAAATTAAAAAGGAAAGAATTAAGTTAGAGTAAGGATGGCAATGACCTTACCTCTGTAACTTGATTTGTGCCACTATTAGAACCTCTACTCAGAATATTATTGCTTTTCAATTTTTGACTCATGCACTTTTAACTTG